GGAGGTGGCCGGGGCCTCTTTGGCACATGGGCCCTGCCTGCTCTGAGAATGGACCCACGCCCCAGGGGGAGTCATCGCTTCCGTACGGTGCTGAGGATGTAGGGGTGCGCGTTCCAGAGGGCACCGTGGAGGACAGAGAGCGGGAGGGGAGCAGGGGCACGGGGCGTGGGCGAGGGGTGCGGGGACGAGAGGTGGCCTCTTGTCTCTAGTTCAGCAGCGGCCACGGCGGGGCGGGCCAGGGTTCATGGTGGACCCGCCCCGCAGTGGCTTTGCAGAGTGGGCCCTCCGACCCCCGGGAAGCAGGTTGAACCCTGGAAGGCGCCGGCCTCGGCCTGGATTCTGCTCCGAGGGGCCTCTTGCCTCCATACGTCCCCGCTGCTTTCAAATTTGTCAAAACTCCGGTTTTCCGGACAGCTTTTCTTTTTTTTTTTTTTTTTTAATTTTTTTTTTTCCAACGTTTATTTATTTTTGGGACAGAGAGAGACAGAGCATGAACGGGGGAGGGGCAGAGAGAGAGGGAGACACAGAATCGGAAACAGGCTCCAGGCTCTGAGCCATCAGCCCAGAGCCTGACGCGGGGCTCGAACTCACGGACCGGGAGATCGTGACCTGGCTGAAGTCGGACGCTTAACCGACTGCGCCACCCAGGCGCCCCCCAGACAGCTTTTCAAGAACACCCACTGTACGAAGTTGAGCACGTTTTCCTCCCGAGGGGCCCGGGAAGGGGGCTCATCGTGCCCACGGAAACCGGAGAAGCACACGGAGAAATAAACGTGGGAGTGGTTGCCTCTCGGGGTCACGACAGCAGATCATGGAAATGTGTTTTTTCATTTCCTCGTATTCCGCGGCTCATGTGTTGCGCAGCTGTGATTTATTTTCAGAGCCCACTTTGGAATTTGACAGACTCTCACGCTGGCCCGCTTCACAGCTGAAACCGTGTGCCATTTGGTCGATGATAAAGCAAGTGACGATTTACAACGAAAACAGCCGCAAAAAAGAGGCCGTCTGTGAGTGAGACAGACAGGTGTCAAACCGGGGCGGGGGCTCCCGGCAGCCTGGGGGGCAGGCCTCTCGCTGGGGCCGAATCCTGGTGGACACGTCCTGCCCGCAGGTGCAGGGCCGGCAGTGCCCGGAGTGCTGGTGTCCATAGGGGGCCGTTCACCCTGCAGAGCCGGTCCCCTGGGAAGCAGAGGCTGAGCGTCCCTGCCGCTGAGGGTGCTGGGAGGGCCGGCCGGCGAGGCACCTGCTCCAGCCCTGAGTGCCAGCTGGCTCTGGTCCGGGGAGACGGGGCCCCCAGGTGCTGGGGGAGGGGGGGACGGGAGGTGACCACCCCGTGTTGTACATGCTCTCTACTTCCTCCTCGCTGTTGGGAGCGGTGAGCCCAGCCCTTTGGGTTTCAAGTGATAGAAATCCATTCAAGTGTTTATCGCAAAGGGGCGGGTCTCTGGTCGCGCGTTTACCTCTTCTCTGCTTTCTTTTTGTTTGTAGCATTTATCGCCACCTGACAGCAGTCTCTTCCTTCCCTTGTTCTCTGTTCTTCGGGTGTTGCTGTCTGTTCGCCCTCGAGATTATGTAATGGCTTCTGCCTGTGTAACTCTTTGTGCTTTTATTGGTACCTAGCATACTGGAGGCATTTAGTAAACATTTATGAAATGATGGCAAGGTGACGCCTGGGTAAGTTGTGACAAGAAATGGGAGATCGTCAGGCAAAGGGAAGGAGTCGCTGCTGGGGAGGCCAGGGCCTCAGGACCCAGAGTGGCACACAGGGACGGACGGGGACAGCGAGTTGCTCTGAGCCGGGCGGGGGGGGGGGGGGCGGGGCACGCAGGGGTGCAGCAGGTGCGGCCAGAGAGGCGAGCAGAGGCCAGATCTGGGGGCGCCTTCACAGAGGGCTGCAGGTCTTGGAGTTTTTTGGGGATCCGTAGCGGGGAGCATGAAAGGAGCGGGACGCGATCATTTGTTTTGAGTTTGCTGGGAACCTCGTGCTTCGTGCGTTCCTTGTGTGTGTCCTGAGTGCGGGTCTTAAGCCTCCGTTGGCGGAAAAGGAAAAGCAAACCAAGCAAGCGTAGAGCAGCAAAGCTGAGCGCCAGGGTCACCCTAGTGATCGGGCCCGGCCGTTTCGCGTTGGAAGTGGAGACTTCTAAGGGATGCAGACGACAGGTGGAAGGGGGTGAGGCCGGGCGGGTCAGCTGCCCACGCAGATGAGCAGGGAGCTGAGGGCGTCGGGACGCAGACGCGGGAAGGTGTGTGGGGGGGGGGCAGGAGGGACAGAGTGTTGGCGGCTCCTCAGATGCGCCGTGAGCGCTCCGTGTTCTGTATTCAGGAAGCGTTTCTAGAGCACTTTCTGAGCCACACACGGTGTTGGTCCCTCTGTAGCGTCCGTGGGTTTCCTCGTCACGACAGCGTCAGAGGGCGACAGTCCTGCGACCCTCATTTTACAGGTGAAGACGCTGGAGCGCAGACCCATCAGGTCGCACGCCCAGGGTCGCGCGGGAAGAGAAGGAGGCGGGATCGAAGCAGGTCTGTGCACCTGGCACTGGACGTCAGGCTTGAGCGGCTGGGTAGGGGTGGACTGGTGACCGCGACGGGGCCTGCGGGAGGCAGGGAAGGTCTGGGCGCCCTGCACAGGAACGCGGGTTCGGTTTTGGACCCGCGGAGCGCGAAGTGTCTGAGAGGCCCCGACGGCAGGTGGACGCGTACGAGCCTCCCAGAGAGGTCCTGCTGGGGAGGCCGCCTTGGTGTCATCGGCACGCAAGGTGTGGTGCAGCCGAAAGAGCCCCTGAAGGTCCTGCGGAGAGCGAGGGAGAAGGGTCCCGGCCCAAAGTGGGAGGGCTGGGGGGGAGGAGCCCCCCAGGGCCGAGAACCAGCAAAGGAGAGGCAGGAGACAGAGGCTCCCTGGGGGAGAAACGTCCAAGAGGGACATGCTGGTTGAGGACAGGGACCATTTCTGTTTGCCCCCTCCCCCGCCACCATGACGGAGATGTGAGGGTGTCTGAGTGCCGGACGGAGGAAGAGGAGGAAGAGGAGGAGGAGCGGCCGGGAGGCAGGTGCCTGGTCGCGAAACAGGGCCCGCTGAGGGCGGGGACGCGGCGTTTCTTCCGCGGAGGGAGCAAGGCGGGTGATGGATGCGTGTCTCTTCGTGAGTGCTCTGCTGTGGGATCAGGGAAACGGGTAGGAAGCCGTTCGTACTAGCTGGTTCCTTCGGGCCCACTTTGGGCACAAGCCCTTTCCGGACGCATACAAACGGTTTCAGTTCAACCGGCAAGTATGGTGATCCAGGCACTGTCAGCCGCGTTGGGACGTTTCGCGCTTGGTCCCGGCCCGCGAGGCACAGAGCTCAAGCGCAGGGCGGTAAGTCCTCGCCGTCCAACGTGACGGGTGTCACAGACGGGTTTCCTCCACGGGACGTGAAGGTAGGGCGACCGTGCTCGCAGCCACGTGGGTCCCAGAGCCTCACAAGGTGCCGGGCGCGGCAAAGCCATCGGATACACACCGAGCGGGCGAGCGGGCGAATGAAGACGTGGACGGGGGGCCTTGCCCGGGGGCCGGGGACAGACTCCCCGGGGTCGTGACACCCGAGCTGGCCCTGGACAACGAGCAGCCATTCACCAGGAGGACAGTTCACGTGGAACGGGGCGTGAGCTGGCAGAAAGGGCTGCGTGTGCACACGTGTGAGGCGTGAGGCCCCGGGAGATGCGGGGGCACCGTGTCTGGAGCCGCTCTCACACCCTGTCCAGGGGCCACCGACCACGTGTGCTCGCCACACACCCGGAACAGGCTCGTTGGAGCGGAGACGTGCCCCGTGTGTGAAAGACACATCCCTTGCAAAGACCCAGAGAGAAAGAATGAGGGGCACCCGGGGGGCTCAGTCGGTTAAGCGTCTGACTCGATCTGGGCTCCGGTCACGATCCGAGCGTCGTGGGATCGAGCCCTGTGTCGGGATTCTCTCTCTCCCTCTCTCTGCCCCTCCCTCAGTCACGCACGTGCACGTGTGCACTCTCTCTCTCTGAAAAAAAAAAAAGAAAAAAGTGAGACATTGCCCATTAGTGTTCTACACGGTGAAATGGTAATACTCCAGATCTATTACGGAAAGCGACTTCGCCTATTTGTTAACTTTTCAAGAAATGTGCCTTCTAGAGCGCGTCGAACTAGACAGGTGGTTCCCACAACATCTCTCTCGGGCAGGGTGGTGGGCAGGGCCGCGTGCCGAGACGCTCTGTTGGGGGCTCCCGTGAGCGATGCGCTTTGGAGCCCAGGCGGGCAGTCAGATGTGTGCTGCCTGCACAGCTGGCGGCCGTGGGACAGGGGCACTGACAGAAAGGATGCTGGAGGTTGGGAGCCAGCGAGTGTCAGTTGAGGGAAGGCAGGCAGGGGGAGGAGGCGGAGAGACCGATGGGGGTGCAGGAGGGGAGGGCGGGAAGGACTCCCACATAGCGTCTGGAATTCTGACCTGGATTTCCGCGCTGACGGTGGTGCACTGGCTGACGTCGGGGAGGAGTGGGTGGTGCTGGGTGGTCTCGGGCTGGGGCGGAGGGGCTGCAGGGGCTGGTGCTGGAGGTGTGGGGTGCAGAGGCGGTGTCCCGGCCGTGGACGAAGCCCGTAGGGGTGCGCGGCGGGAGGAGAGAGGATGGCCCAGCTGGGGTCTCCTCGGAGAGGAGAGGAGAGGAGACCGCGGGCAGCGGCTGCTGGGGTCGGCAGCCGGGGACTGTGGCGAACGTGTCTCCGTGAAACGATGGGGGAGAAACCGAGTCGGAATGACTCCAGGTGGTGTCATAGGACAGAGCAGGGACAGCAGGGGCAGACTGTCCTCGGAAGAAGACGAGGCACTTAGAATCGTACGGGTTTTGTGACCCCCGTGTTCCCAGCCAGAGAATGTTGGGGATCCAAGAAACGATCCGTGCAGCCCGTTTGCCCTCATATGCAGAGCGTTTGGAGAGAGCTCTCCCCGCCCTACGCCCTCGTCCGAGGCAGAGGCTCACACGTGTCCCTCTCTCGCTTAGGCCGGATCCTGGACCTGAAGACGGGGACGGTGAAGAAAGAGGGACAGCAGTCCTCCATGAGGATGTGCATGGGCTCGCGGAGGTCCTTCATTTGCAGGATGAGGTGTGTGCGGGGCGGAGGGCGGTGGGTGGCGGGCAGATGAGGTCTGCGCGGGGCGGCGGGTGGCGGGCGGTGGGCGGCCGCTCCTTCTGCTCCACCGGCAGGAGCCTTGACGGGCTCTGCTGAGGTGAAACCCCGTGGTCCCGGCTGCAGCACGTGAGCCTGCAGACCCCGTGGTCCGCCTCGGACGCCGCCGCGTCCCCCTTCCTCCCACCCACCTTGTCGGACTTCCCGCCCGTCCCTGCCCACTCCTGGGTTGGCTTCCCCTGTCGGCTGGGTCCCAACTTTCTCCCGGTCCTTCAGGACCCTTCTGAACTCCAAGCCCTCCAGGCACCATATTGGTCAACACGTTTTATGTAAGATGGGTCGATTTTGTACTCGCTTTTGTGTTTCCTGTGCCAAAGCACACGTTTTCCTTAGCGTTTAATTATTAGATTGTCGCATGATGCTTCAGGTGGAAATGTCTGGGCTCCGTGAGTCAGCAACGGTTGCCCTGAGGACAGGGGCTTGGCGTTACTTCTCTGAGCCGCCCGCGATCTATACCGAGCGTGTACGTGGTTAACGCGTGGTGTGGAGGAAATGCAGGAGTGACTGAACTGGGGGGTAATTAGAGAATTTTCTGTCCCCGAGGAAGAAAGAAAAAGGCTTCAGAGTCCCTGTACCCTCAGCCCCGAGGCCCTGTAGGGGTGGGGCGGGGGTGCCTGGTGAGTCGAATCTGCCGGGACGTGGAATTGCAGAGGCTGTAAGACGAGGCAGTGCCCCTCATTCATTCATTCATTCATTCATTCATTCATTCAAACATCTATCGAGGGCCTGCCTGTGCCAGGCCGGGGTTCAGCTCTGAATAAAGCAAACAAAATCCCTGAGCTTGTAGAATGTCACTTTAGTAAGGGAGATCTAGGATGGGCAAAAGTACCAAGTAGACACAGGGAATGTCAGATAGTGGTAAGTGCTCTTGAGGAAAATAAAACAAATTTAAGAAGGAGGAGGAGTGGTTAGTTCACGTGTTACATAGGTTGGGTGGGGGTGGGGGGTCTCAATGATAAGGTGGCATTTTGGAGATGTCCCAGGAGACCTGGGACTATCTGGGGAAAGAAAATACCAAGTGGAGGGAACCGCAAGTCTAAAGGCCCTGGGGCAGGGATGTTCTTGTGTTTAAGTATCAATAAGGTTGCTATCCAAGGAGCAGGGTGAGTGGCTGTGGTGGGCAGAATGGTCATCAGTAAGGTTGGGCTGGGGGCGCCTGGGTGGCTCAGTCGGTTAAGCATCCGACTTTGACTCAGGTCATGATCTCACGGTTCGTGGGCTCGAGCCCCGTGTCGGGCTCTGTGCTGACAGCTCAGAACCTGGAGCCTGCTTTGGATTCTGTGTTTCCCCCTCTCTCTGCCCCTCCCCAGCTTGCATTCTGTCTGTCTGTCTCTCTCTCTCTCTCAGAAATAAACATTAAAAAAAATTAAAGTAAAGTAAGGTGGGGATGTTGGGTAACTTAACAGCTTTTACTCTGAATGAGGAGGGAGACCGCTGGAGTTTTCTCGTAAGAACGACACATTCTGAATCACGTTAAATAATTCACTCTGCCTGTGTGTGGGGGACAAACCCGCAGGGGGGACGAACAAGGGTGCAAGTGAGGAGGCGGCTGGACGCAGGATTCTGGAATGCAAGGGAGAGGTTGGGCCGAAGGTACGGACTTGGGGACCGCCGTCACCGAGATGCTCCCCGAAGCCTGGAGACTGAATGAGGTCACCGGGAGGTGGGCAAGGCTGGAGGAGAGGTCAGGCCGCAGCCCCCGGGCCACTCCTGTGGCAGGGAGGCGAGGAGGGGCCAACAAGCCCGAGACGGCAATGCAGGCCGGTTGGCAGGGAAGGGGGGTGAAGGACGTTCCTGCAAGGAAGGCGTGCTCCCCGCAGAGGCTCCTGAGGGTCCTGAACACGAGGGCCGGGGCATCCCCGCCGCAGAAGGAGAAACCTCGGGAGCGCCAGCTGCAGGCAGGTGGCAGGGCGGCCTCCGCCCTCTCTTCCCTGGCACGGGAGCCTGTCCCTGCTGCCCGGCTCGGGGTCTCCCAGGCTGTCCTCGAGTCCCTGGGACCCCACACCGACCTTGATTGAGCCCGGCCGTCTCCTGCCTTCTCTGAGCTTCTGCCGAGCTGTGCGACAGCCCCAGGCTGGCTCAGGGGAGCTCAGCACAGATGTCGCTCTCCTCCCATTTGCTGCCGGACCTGTGACTCGTCAGGGCCGTCCATGCGGAGAGGAGACCCATCCTCCGAGGCAGCGCCTCTCCGTTCTTGCAGAAGACGGGACGGAACTCCCTTCGACACCTGCCTCAGGTCACACGACGGCATTCGGGCGACGGAAAACACGATCGCTGCATCTGAGTTCATATTAGCCTGTGTGGATGAGCGCTCTCAGTCCGCTGACAGGCACGGGGACGGCAGGGTGTCCGTGTGCTGGAGGCCACTGGGGACAGAACGCTGTCCCGAGGACAGAACGCGGACAGCGCCCCGTCAGCAGAGCACGCCCACCCCGGCGCGGGGGCAGCACCTGCAGGATTCTGGGTCCAGCACCACACGGCCCCCTGCGGAACGCCTTCCCCGGGGACGTCACCACACCCGGTCCTGCGTCTCCATGCCATCGTCACTCTGCCTGCAGGCCACGTCAGGCAGCCCGCCCTGCCCCGGTGCCCTCTGGGGGACGTGACTGCCCCATGAGGCGAGCAGTTCTGCCGTCTGCCGAGCGCCTGACCTCGTCCTCCCAATAAAGCGGGTTCGTTCTGGGAGGGTGCCAGCCGGCCAGGCGGCGCGGTCCCGGGTCGTCCCTGCTGGGGGACACACACCTGCGGGTGGCCGTCCCCGGTCTCAGAGCACAGCTGGCCTCTCCTCTGTGCCCGACGGAGCGTGAAGATGTCCAGAGCGTTACGTGCCCTGGAGTCGGGACGCGGAAGCACACAGAAGGATGGGTACACACAGCACCGGCCGGACCCTGGTGGCAGGGCGACCCTCGATGTTCAGAGCCTGGGGAGGATTGAAAGGAGTGGCGGAAAAGGTCGCCTCCCGGCCCCCGCCTCCCGGAGAAGGGCCTCCGTCGCCCCCGCTCTGCCCTTTGCCGTCAGCGGGCTGAGGCGGTTACGTCGCTCCCAGTGACGGGACACTGCAGGGGCAGGGAGGGTCCCCACGGCCGCAGCCGCAGCCTGGGAACATGCGTCCTTCTGTCAGCGGGCAACGCGCATCTTGCGATGATGGCTCTGCTGAGGCCTGAAGAGACCCCACCACCCTGCTTGCGTGACCCCGAACGTGACCGGGAGCCCCTGGAGTCTTTCTTAGGGGTCCGGCCTGAGGGGGGTGGGGAGTGGGGGGCTCTGCATCGCCAGGTGGGTCACGCTCCCCCAGCCGCGGTGACAGCCGGGGACCGGAGGTGCGCGAGCCCGCGTCAAAGCGCCAGCATCGATCAGAGCGGCTCTCTGACCGCAGGGCCATCCCGTACAACTGCTTCGGGCTTTACTCATCCTCAGCATTTACCGAATCCTAGGTGTGGGAACGCTCCTTTGGACCACCTGCCGCTGAACAGAATAACCACCATGAGGAAAAGGTTCAGGTCAGTGAGCCTTGGCGACGCGTGACAGGGGCCGCGCGGGGGGGAGGGCGTGATGAGTGCCCTGAGCGGGGGAGCAGCGAGGCCGGGCGGGGGTGCCGGGGGTGGGGGTGGGGCGTGGGACGCGTGCGGGGCTGAGGGGAGGGAGGGGGCTGGGTGCGCCTGCCGGGGGAGGAGGGACATCAGGGTGCCGGGAGGGCGAAATTCAGGCCCCCGAGGCACGCGTGACCCCGGCGTCCCTGCCTCCCGCCTCGTGCGGAAAGCCGTCTCACGGATGCTCTTTCTTCAGGAACGGCCTTGGCCCCGTGAAAGACGGGGAGGCCCAGTACGCCGTGGTGCACTGCACGGGTTACATCAAGGCGTGGCCCCCCGCAGGTAAGCCGTGCGTTCTTCCGGGGGGGGCTGGGTGCCCTCACCCGACTGTGCCTTCCCGTCGGGAGCGTGTGCCGCAAAGAGGCAGAGAGATGCGCTCGTTGTTCTTTGTGCTTAGAACGTGATGATCTCTGTCACTGGGGCAAGTCCCGCTTCTGGGAGCAAAGGTTTCTGGAAAGAGCGATCCTGCGCGGGTGCTTAGAGCCTCCGCCGCTTCCTGCGGTCTGTCACCCGGAGCCCTGTGTGAGGTCGCGGTGGCCTCTGAAATGACAGCTGTCACTCTCACCGGGACGGTGCCACGGACAGCGGCAGGCATCGGCGAGGAGCTGGAGCCCTGGCAGCCCTCAGGTCACGCGGGTGGCACGGTAAACCAGTGCGGCTGCTTCTGGAAACCGGAGGGCCGGTCCTGGCCGCCGTGTGCCCGGGCCGCCCCACTCCCAGGGGCACGCGGGAGAACCGAAAGCGTTTGTCCGCCAAGAAACTTCCAACAGGGGAAGCGGGCAAGTGATTCGTGCTACAATATCCGTGCACCTTGAAAGCGTCATGCTAAGCGGAAGAAGCCAGACACCCAAGGTGACCCATGATAGGATTTCATTTATGTGCAATATCCAGAGAAGGTAGATCCCTCCAGGAAGAAAGTAGATGTGTGGTTTCCAGGTGCTGGGCGGTGGGACGAAGGGGGGCGTGGCTGTCCCGGTACAGCGTTTCTTTTCTAGATGACACAAATCCTGAAATCAGTTGGGGTGACGGTTGCACAAGTATACAGATCTGAAAACCACTGCCTTGTGTCCTTGAAGATGGCGGGTTTTATGGCGTGTGAGTTATTAATCAATCTGTTATTAAGCAAAGGAATATACGTGGTGTTGACCATCCGTGTCCCCTTGACGGCCCCGGACGTGGTCTGGCTCTGGGAACGTTCCTGGTCTGCTGGAGAACGTTGCGACTCTGCTAGTATCGGATGGAGTATTTAAGTGTCCGCGAGGTCAGGTTGATCGATAATGCTGTGAAGGACGACTGTGTCCTTATTGATTATTCACCTGCTCGATAGATTGATCGCTGAGGGAGGCGCGTTGAAGTCTCCAACTGTAACAGAGAGAGGGCTTGCCTGTTCCTTCCGCAGTTTTGCCCACGTCTGCCTCTCATGTCTTGACGCTCTGTTGTATGGTCCATACACGCTACGGGTTTTTATGTCTTCTTGGAGAAGTGACCCCTTTGTCATTGTGTGATGCCCTTCCTTAATCCTGATAAGTTTCCCTGCTCCGAATTCTGCTTTGTCTGAAAATAATACAGCGACTCCAGCTTTCTTTGGATTGGCGTAAGCATGGTGTGTTTTTCTCCATTTTTTACTTTTAACCTGTGTCATAATTAAAAAAAATTTTTTTTAACATTTATTCAGTTTTGAGAGACAGAAAGAGAGCGCAAGCAGGGAAGGGGCAGAGAGAGACGGAGACACAGAGTCCGAAGCAGGCTCCAGGCTCTGAGCTGTCAGCACAGAGCCCAGCACGGGGCTCGAACCCACAGACCGCGAGATCGTGACCTGAGCCAACGTCGGAGGCTTAACTGACTGAGCCACCCAGGCGCCCCTAACCTGTGTCATTATATTTAAAGTGAGCTTCTTATAGATGTGTTGCTGGGTCCAGTGTTTTTACCCACTCCGACCACACAACTTTTAATTGGTGTATTTAAACCATTCACGTTTAATGGGATCATTCATAGAGTTTACTCAATACCTACCGTATTTTCTATTCTGTGTATTTGTTCTTTCTTCTCCCCTCTCTGTGCATTCCCTGGTTTCCACTGAACATTCTGTAGGATCTCATAGTCTCTCCTAGCATATCAGTAATATTTCCTTAAAAATATCTTTGTTGTCTGCCCTGAGTTTGAAATATATATTTACAACCAATGTAAATCCACTTCCAAATAATACCGTACTGCTTTTGTGGGTAGTGCGAGGATCCCTGGACTCAGCTTCCCTTCCTCCCTCCCTCTCCCACAACACCGCTCTCATGGGCTACACTTACCCATGAGCACATTGTTACTGTTGTTGCCGGGAACACACGGAAATATATTAGCTCAATTAAGAAGAAAAGCGTGCCTGGGTGGCTCAGTCGGTTAAGCATCCGACTCTCGATCCTGGCTCAGGTCATGACCTCACCCTTCATGGGCTCGAGCCCCCAGGCGGGCTCTGCACTGATGGCACGGAACCCGCTTGGAATTCTCTCTCTCTCCCTCTCTGTCTGCCCCTCACCCCATTCTCTCTGAAAAGAAATAAGTAAACTTAAAAATCAGGTTGAAACAAAAATAACAAAAATAAAAAAGTGTATTTCCCCTTAATTTATTCCTTTATGTGTACCCGAGTTTCTACCCCATATTGTCTCCTCCTTCCTGAAGAACCTCTTTTAACATTTACCGCAGGACGGCTCTGCCGGGGGGGTGAAGTCTCTATTTTTGTTTTTCCCAGGGTCATTATTTCTCCCTCACTCTCAAAGGATAATTCTGCTGGGTTTAAGGTTTTAGGTTGGCCTGATTTTCCCCCAGCACTTCAGATCTCCACGCCTTCCTTGTTCCTGTGGTTTCTGACGAGAAGTTCACGGAACTGGTACCTTTGTTTTCCTGTAGCCCGTGTGGGACTTCTTTTTTTTTTTTCTGGCTTCTCTCAAGGTTTTTTCTCTTTGTCTTTGCTTTTCTGCAGTTCTAATAGTACATGCCTCAGAAGCTCGTTTTATTTTGGTTTTTGGTTATTTATACCGCTTGGTAATTTCCGAGCTTCCTGTGTCTGTGGTTTGGTGTCCTTACTTTTGAAAAATTCGTGGGGGCGTCTGGGTGGCGCAGCTGGCTAAACACCTGACTCTCAACTTCCGCTCAGATCGTGATCCACAGTTCATGAGTTCAAGCCCCATGACAGCATGGAGCCCACTTGGGATTCTCTCTCTCTCTCTCTCTCTCTCTCTCTCTCTCTCTCTCTCTCCCTTTCTTTCTCTCCCTCTCTGCCCCTCGCCCGCCCATGCCGTCTCTCAGAATGAATAAACTTTTTTTAAAAAAGGAGAAATTTTTGAACACTGTGTCTTCACATATTTCTTTTGTTCCGTCTCCTTTCTCTTCCTCCTGGGATTGCGACTGCCCGTGTATTATGTCACGTTCGAAATTGTGTTGCGACTCGGGCGTCTTCTGTTCTGGATCTTTTCACTCTTTTCTCCTCTTTGCATTCTAGTTTTGGGAGTGTCAGTCGACAGATCTTCATGCTCACTGATTCTTTCCTTGTCGACGTCCAGTCTGCTGATGAGTCTGTCGAAGGCACTGCTCGTTTCTCCAACAGTGTTTTTTGTTTGAATTTTTTAAAAAGTTTATTTATTTATTTTGTGAGAGAGCCGGGGAGGGACAGAGAGGGAGACAGAGCCAATCCCAGGCAGGTTCCACGCTGTCAGCGCAGAGCCCGACGTGGGGCTCGAACTCACGAACGGTGAGAACATGACCTGAGCCGAAACCAAGAGTCTCCGACGGTGTTTTTTATTTCTAGCGTCTCCTTTCGGTTTCCTCCTGGAGTTTCTACCCCTCCACTCGTGTTACCTGTCCGGTTTTGCTACTGTCTGCTTCTTCCATTAGAGCTCTTAGCATGTTAATTATAGTTATTTTAAATTCCCTGTCCAGCAATTTCAGTCTGTGTCATAGTGGAGTCTGGTTAAGATGCTGACTTTGTCTCCTCAGGCTGTGCTTTTTCTTGCCATTTAGCACGCTGTGTAAATCTTTGTTGGAATCCAGATGTGACGTGTCAGGTGATACTAACGGAGTTTAATTGAATTATTCCCAGAGTCGGATGTGTTTAATGTTTGCCGTATATATATACGTATATATCAGTTCGACATACAGACGTGCATGTGTTATATGCTTTTAAATTGTGTATTTTTTATTTATAGATTTTTCTTTCCTGTATAAATCATAATGCACATAATTGTCAGGGTGCTGCTTGCCTGAAGGGCCCCAGTTAGATTCAAGACTTTGAGCGAGCTGCCTTCACAGGTGTCCCGAGCTCAGACCTCAGCTCTGTAGATCTAGAAACAGTCCTGATGGGGCCCGAGAACGGGCCAGCCCCGGCGAAGGTGGGAGTCCTTGCAGGCTGATGTCTTAACGAGGTGTGACCCATAATGCCACGGGGCTTCCCCGTCTCTGATGGGGATGCTCACGCCCGTCGTCCGGGGGTCCCGTGAGGTTCTGAGGCTGCTGTGAGGCCAGATTTGCATCGGAAGGTTGTTTGACGAGAGGCAAACCAGAGGAGAGGCGTGGACAGCCTGGAGAGAGACTTTGCGCAGCAGCGTGGCTCAGGGAGCACACGGGACGGACTGACCTGTGCCCGCTGCTGAGCACCAGACACGGGCCCGTCCCTCGGGGAGCACGGAGCCGTGTGGCTGGGGGGCTAGCACGCGCACAGATGATGCAGGAGGGTGTGGGGAGACGGCCAGCCCCGGGGACGGTGGGGGGGGCCTGATGCCCCCCGGAGACAGGAGAGCTTCCCGGAGGAGGCTCCTCACAGTGTGGGTCGGTACCACCAAGTCCGGCCCTTGGGACCCCTGTTCCAGGAGACCATCTCGTTCCTGAGTTCCTCTCCTGAACTCGTCGCTCTTACGATACCGGGCAAATTCCCCGTCCTGTTTCTGGCCTCAGAGTGCCCTCCTTCTGACCACCGTATTTGGGCTCCACGCCTACAACATCACGAGAACTGCCATGGTCATGGTGAGTCTAACGCAGAGTCCTTGTGGGTGAGCAGGAGAGAGGAGTCTGAGGCCCGGGGTGCAGGCAGGTGACTGTACCCAGAGCCCACAGAGGTGACTCAGGGCAGGCCCTTCTGGAGCCGCGTGTGGGTCCGTGCCTGCGAGTGTTTGTGTGCCCGGGGTCACGGGGCCAGTAGGACTTGGCATGAAGCCTTCAGCCCTTGGAACCGCACCGTGTGCGAAGGGGTTGAAGGAGCCGGGGGTGTTTATCTTGGAGAAAGCGAGACATGATTTCTG